CACTCCAGTAGATGAGCGAATTGCTATAATTCGTATAAAAGCGAAGTTCTTTTACATCAGTCTAATTTGCGCCCATGCTCCGACCGAAGAAAAAGATGAACGGACCAAAGACATATTTTAAGAGCGCCTAGAAACAGCATATGACCGTTGCCCTGGCCACGACATTAAAATTCTGCTAGGAGATTTTAATGCAAAAATCGGAAGGGAAAATATCTTTGGCCCCACCGTCGGAAAATTCAGCCTTCATGAAGAAACATCCGACAACGGCATGAGGTTGATTGACTTCGCGGCAGCAAAAAACATGGTAGTTAGCAGCACCAGATTCAAGCATCTCGATATACACAAGGCCACCTGGCTTTCTCCTGATCAAGTAACGAGAAATCAAATTGATCATGTTGTGATAGACGGAAGGCATTCATCCAGTGTTTTAGACGTCCGATCGATCCGAGGAGCGAATATCGATTCGGACCATTACCTTGTGGCAGCCAAGGTACGCACCCGCCTTAATGTTGCAGCAAAGGTGCGATCTAATACAACACGGAAACTCGACGTCGAAAAGCTGCAAACACAAAAGGTAGCCGAGGCCTACTCCGCTCAACTTACCCATCTGCTTGAAGAAAGCACTTCTTGTCCCGATAATCGTATAGAAGCACAATGGCAAAGAATTGCCCACTCCCTACAAACTGCAGCAAAAAGAACAATTGGGTACCAAAAACCACCACCAAGAAACCCATGGTACGATCAGGAGTGTCGTAATGCTACTGATGTGAAAAACGCAGCGTATAGGGCAAACCTATAAGAAACCTATCAAACCTATCAACCTATCAGAAGAAAGAACAAGAAAAACGTGAGCGTGAGCAAATCGAGATGTACAGGAGTCAGAATGAAGTCCGGAAATTTTACCAACGAGTAAAACACCAAACCGAAGGCTTTGGTGCAGGCACATCCTCCTGTAGAGATGAAGAAGGAAACCTGGTGACAGATACAGACAGCGTGTTGAGGATCTGGAAGGAGCATTTCGAAAAGCTACTAGTATCAAATAGTGGCGATGAAGAAGATACCCCAGAACCAATAAGAGATGATGGTGTAGAGTGTATACCACCTAGCCAAGATGAGGTCATAAAAGCAATTAATCGGCTCAAGAACAACAAAGCAGCAGGAGCCGATGGGTTACCAGCCGAACTATTCAAGACTGGTGGCCAGATGCTGGTCAGGAGCATGCACCAGCTGATTAACACAATTTGGCTAGATGAATGCATGCCCAATGATTGGAACCTCAGCATCCTGTGTCCCGTGCACAAAAAAGGAGACAAGACGATATGTGCCAACTATAGAGGAATAAGTCTCCTTCCCATCGCATATAAAGTGCTATCCAGTGTGCTGTGTGAACGATTGAAGCCAATGGTCAATGACATCATGGGACCATACCAATGCGGCTTCAGACCTGGCAAATCCACCATTGACCAGATTTTCACTCTGCGCCAAATCCTGGAAAAGACCCACGAAAAACACATCGACACATACCACCTATTTGTCGACTATAAAGCCGCATTCGACAGCCCTATCCGTTCAGAGGTGTTTAAAGCCATGTCTGCGTTCGGCATTCCTGCAAAATTAATACGGCTATGCAGGATAACTTTAAGTGGCACAAGGTCAGCCGTTAAAGTAGGAAAGGACCTATCGGAGCCCTTCAATACCGAACGAGGATTCAGACAAGGTGACAGTTTGTCTTGTGATCTTTTTAACATCCTACTGGAAAAGGTCATACGAGACGCAAAGGTGAACAGAAATGGCACTCTGTACACCAAACAACATCAGTTACTCGCCTACGCCGATGACATCGATATAATAGGTCGAACATTGCGAGCGGTAACAGCCACCTTTGAACAAATTGAAAAGGAGTCTGCCAAGGTAGGTGTGGCAGTAAACGGCGAGAAGACCAAGCTGATGGTATCAACGCGCAAGACGTCCAGTAGACTCGGACCAACTGTGGAACTTGAGAACTACAGCTTCGAGGTAGTTAAAGACTTTATATACCTTGGTACCGCCATAAATAAAACGAATAATATCAGTTTTGAAATTCGGAGAAGGATTGTGATGGCCAACAGATGCTACTATGGTCTAAGTAAGCAGTTTAGAAACAAGGCCACCTCTCGCCAGACCAAACTCACACTTTACAAGACGCTGATACTACCCGTGCTATTATATGGATCAGAAGCATGGGTACTTGCGCAAGCAGATGAGGCAGCGCTTGGGGTGTTTGAGAGAAAAATTCTCCGAAAGATCTACGGGCCGATCTGCGTCGACGGTGAATATCGGCGTCGAATGAACCACGAGCTCTACAATTTATACGCGGACATCGACATAGTCAGTCGTATTGAGCTGCAGCGACTACGGTGGCTAGGCCATGTTGTGCGGATGAATGAAGATGCCCCAGCTCAAAAGGCATATAAAAATGAGCCTACTGATGGTTCCCGTAGAAGGGGAAGGCCACGAATTAGATGGAAAGACCAAGTAGAAAACAACATCTTGGAACGTGGTCTTCCAAATTGGTGGACTTGCGCACAAGACCGAGGCGCTTGGAACAACCGTTCTGTAACAAGCCAGCTAAGTAAGTAAGTACACATTTTCTAGACTACCTCCATACAATCACCACCACTAAATTTAGTACTACTTAGTACCTAAAACCCTTTGGACCTTCTTTCTAACTCTCTGTAAATGACATTCCAAATTTTAGGTTTCCACTTTCCAATACTACACTTCAACAGTAATCTGAATTCTAAATCTCAGGAATCATACAAATCCAAATCGTTTCAAATTTAGTACCATTTAGTACTTTTCATACCCATAAGTAAGAATTTCTAAAACTACGTCAATCCTACACTCTAACAGTAATCTTAATTCCACCAAAGTCCAAATTGTACCAAATTGAGTTCTTTTGGTACTCATAAGTACAAATTGCCAAATGTAAATCAATTCTGCTTTTAAATAGTAATCGTAATTGCAAATTTAAGAATTTCAGCACTGTCTGTTCATTAAAGACCAAATTATACCATATATGATACCATTCTCTACTTTCCGTATCCATATTCCAAACCTATCTGTTCACTAAATTGTATCAGATTTGGTACCATTCTGTACCTTTGCTACACTCCTACTGTAACCTAAGTTGCAACTTTCGGGATTCGAGTTCTACCCGTTCACCAAAGTCCAAATTGTACCAAATGTTGTGCTTTTCGTACCCAAAGTATAACCTTAATAACCTTATGTCTGCATTTAAAGATTCCAGCTCTATCCGTACACCAAAATCCAAGTTGTACCAAATTTAGTACCATTATTACTTTTCGTAGACGTAAGTACGAGTTTCTAAAACTGCCTCAATTCCACACTGCAACAGTAATTTTAATCATAATTTCTAGAATACCAGCCCTACCCGTTCACATAGATCTCAATTTTACCATATTTATATTTATTTAAAGTACTTTTCGTACTTATGAGTTCGAATTTCAAACAATGTCTCAATCTGGTCCTATAACAGTAATTTTATTGTTCTCCATCTCTATCCTTTCCCTCAAATCTGAATTGTACTAAACTTAGTACCATTTAGTACACATAATTACGCATTTTTAAAACTACCTTCATGTCCCTTCCTACACTCCAACCTTAATTTTAATTTCAAATTTTATGATTCCCGCTCACAGACAACCATATTTAGTACCATTAATTGTCCATAAGTACGAAATTCCAAAACTACCTTAATTCTGTAATTTTCCTTCCAATTTTAAGTTTTCCATCTCTAATCCAAATTGTACCAAATTGTGTACCATTTAGTACACATAATGACAAATTTTCCAAATTACCGACATATCTCAATCCTGCATTCTAGCTGTAATACTAATTCAAAATTTCAGAATCTCAGCCCTATCCGTTCACGCAAAAACAATTTGCAAACTATTTGGTACCATTTAGTACTTTTTGTTTCTATAATTAAGAATTTCCTAAACTACCTCAATCCTACACTCCAACAGGAATTTTAATTCCAAAATTCTGGAATCCAGCTCTATCCGCTCTCAAATAATCAAGTTGTACCAAATATAGTACCATTTAGTACACATAAGTACTCAAATTTCAGGATTTCAGCTCTATCCTCTCAAGCAAAATCCAAATTGTACTAAATTTGGTACAATATAATACTTTTCGTACCAATAAGTAACTACCTCAATCCTACACTCCAACAGTCATTTTTTCACAATTTGAAGACTCCAGCTCTATCTGTTCACCTAAATCTAACTTGCACCAAATTTAGTACTTTTCGTACACAAAAGTACGATTTTTTAAAGCTACTTCAACCTTGTGTTCCAACAGTAGTCCTGATTCCGATTTTCCGGATTCCATCTCTATACACTCAACTAAATACAAATAGTACCAAATTTAGTATCATTTTGTACTTTTTATACACATAAGTACGAATTTCTTAAGGCATTTCCATACATCAACACTACTTCCCAACCTGTATTCCATATAAAATTTCAAGATTCTAGCTATATATGTTATATATATACAATTAGAACTAAATTTAGTAATTTTTAGTACTTTTAGTACACTTATAGGTCGAATTTCCAAAAACCCTTTTGTACATGTTTCTAACTTTCCATCAGTGACCCACATTCCAAATTTCAGAATTCTAGCTCTTCCCGTTCGCCTAAAAATAAGGTACCATTTTTGGTACATTTACTTTTCGTACTTTTCGTACCGTTCTAGTTCGAATTTCCAAAAACCCAGCCTTATCTCACGCCTACACACCAACATCAACCCACACTCAAAATTTCAAGCTTCTAGCTTTAGCCGTTTCGTCTGGGCGATGATCTGTCAGTCACTCACTTAACACTAAGCTCTTTTATATATATAGATATACAACTACAATCTGTATCGTTTATTTATAACATACAATACATTTAAATATATACATGATACAGCATTAACAAATTATCAAGTTATTACTACTTCTTTTTGTGTTTCTTTCCGTCTTTGGCTAATTCCAGACCCAATATATTTTTAGGAGGGATTTTGTATTTTTCGGTTAGCAAGTTATATATAAACCTAACCTGGTTTCCTTGTATTTGAAGCAATTCTGCCTTCTGATTAGGTACTGATACAATAGTGGTACTAGCGGCAGCGCCCTGCTTGCATAATTTGATAAACTCTGGCAATATAATGCCATAAGCCTCAATGTTACTAACCAACGTCACCTTCTTGTTGCCCGATCTTGTAGCCAAAGACATTTGGATCATGGGTTTGTTGCTGGACACAGTGGTTGCCGTACACATTTTGTAAGAATGCTCCATTTGCGAGGTGACATGTGCAATTATGTTTGATAAAGTGGCGCTTTTTGATTTACAGATCGTTTGCAAACAGTCATCCAACAAATATGTCTTTGACTCATCACCGGTGTCTTTTGATAATGGCAAATTTTGCATATTTATGTATTCGCGAATAACTTTTTTAATTTTGGATGCCGGTATGCCTTCTCCTCGTTTATAATTTAATTTTGTAAAGAATGGCGCAGTGTTGTCAGTTACTGTGTATAACTCCATTAATTCGGAGTGAAATAACGCATTCTCCATTGTTCCCTCGCCATTTCCTGTCGGTTTCTTATAATCGGTAATAAAATTTACCAACTCTGGGTGTTCCAAATCAATGTACGTAATTTTATCAACTCCTTTGGTTTCCTCTTTTACGACAATGAAACCTTCGTCAATCATTTCATTGAGAAAATTTGACAGTTTTTTATATTTCGTTTTCTTGAGATCTATCGCCTGCTGTGCTTCAGGTACGACATAAAGTCGATAGAAGTTGCTTGTCAACAATGGTAATTGCAAAGATTTTCCATGGTTCTTCAGAGCTGACAGAAAAGCGTTCTTAAGTATTAGCTCAGGGCTAATAACATCGTTTGTATTTTCTTCATTATTGGTTGCTAATATGTTTTCGTTACCGTCGATAGTCTCCTTATTTTCAGGTGGCAAATTATCTGATGTTTCTTGAAGAGATTCATCCTTAATATTAAGATTATCGAGAGGAACAACCAGACGTTTTTCATTGTCCAAATTTTCGATTTTTACCTCCTCGTTTTTCTTTGGGTTTGTCTTTTTCCCCAGTTCGGGAAAGTCGTTCTCTGATAGAGTAGTTTTAAATTCCGGAACTTGCTGTGCCAGCTGTGGTTCGATGCCCCATAATTTATCGCCAAACAAATGTAAAATTTTTACGGCAACACCATGCCCTCCGCACATGTACAAATCTTCACTTGAACGGGGCAGATACCCAACACCAACAGCATACTTGTTTGATGTTAAATTCACAGCAACTGGAAATACATGAAACTGTATACGGTCACGTTTTTGTTCTTGCATACATCTACGAACGAATCTTACCCAGTTGACCCTTTTTGTAATGACCGTAAACAGACATGCCGCCTTTCCCATGAGTAACTACTCCCGGCAGCATCAAATCAGCTCCATTCTTCAATTTAGGCAAAACGGCCGGGTGGGTTGTGAAATATGGCAATAAATCATGTATCTGAAAGAATTTTTATGTTAGGTGTTCATGCGACATTATCGGAATAATCGGATTTAAACTTTCAAAGACTCACTTTCCACAATGCATATAAGGTTGGAACAAGTTTTTTCTCTTCATTTTCAAAGAAAAATGGTAATTTGTCTACACAGTAAACAGTCGTCTGAATTTCGCCGCTAGTTACCAATTTCAATACTGTTACATTCGATTTAGGCGGTATTAAAATGTCGCAATCAGTATCAGGATATTCGCTTGATAATCGAAGTCGCAACTTTTTTGCCTCTGAAGCTTTAAGTGGGGTATTGCTTTTTAATTTGAATGATTTAAGGAACATGGTATTGAGACTTTTATGTCTTTGTTTTTTGGTGTTTTAGGGATTACAGTTCGAGAACCCGTAGTTCATATTTACTGGTTACTTAAATAGAGTTAATTAATTGGCAACCGGATTGTTTGGCGATATATAATACAATAAATAGGTACTCATGATGCAATTATAAGGTGATGTATCAAAACAAAGGTGTTTATCTGTCAAATTTTTCCTTATAATATTTCAAATGGTTGGCAACACTGCACATCGAATTCAAGTAGAAATTGCCCACGTTGACAGTTAATCAAGACATCAACTGCGCTAAATGGACTACCTAATCATTGTGCCATGCAAAGTAAGATTTGCTTCCTCAAATTTACCCAGCAGGCAGATTGAGTAAATTGAATACGGGAGGACTTTTAATAAAGAAGAATTTCGCATTGTATGCATTCCCAATTTTCCTGTTGGGTGATTTTTAAAAACATAATTTGTCATATTGGCACTAGTATTACGTTGGAATCAAATCAGCTGGGTTTTGCTGCTACCTTTTATAATTTTGCCATGGGTTAACATATGAAAATACATTCAAAAATAGAGCGGTCCCTAAACTAAAAATTATATATGAGTTGTCATATCGGTATTAACATATGTAAAATTTGACAGTACATATGGCTCGTGTATCAAAGCCATTACTTGTTCACTATCAATATCTATGTATGGGTAGCTGATAACTAAATTTTTGTCAAAATATCGTTGTCATTCGTTGTTCGACCCTTAATTATGAAGTAATTACTTAGTTCCCCATGCAAAATTGTCTGAGCCAACACCGACTTTTGTACGTTGTTCAATTCGAATCACTCTCTGAATCACCAAGAATTTTGTGCCATCTCTAACAATTGGGAGAATTTATCGAAAATAAATTAATTTTGACAGCATGAAAAAATTTTCAAATTTTTCAAACATTTTCAGTAAAGTTGAAAATGATGAATGAAAAGTAACCACAATTCTAGTTTTTATATATGCAGAAGAATGTAAATTTTGTTGTCTACATAATGCAATATGCATTTCTTTCCCCTTGGTTCTAGTTAGCGTACAAAACGAGAAACAAAAGTGGGAAAACCAAAACAAAAATTCTCCAATTTTTTAAATGTGACATTTGAGTTGAGAAAATATAAAAATGTATTGAAAACAACAATATTTTCAGAAAAAATAGAAAACATGAATTAAAGGTAAAGAGATAGGGGTTGATATTATAGTCAGGAGAAAGAGAATTATTTTTTTATTTAGATCCATATGTGATTCACGCAAATATGTTACAATTTTGGTGTAAAACAAGAAAGTAAAGTTTGAAAAAAAACTCTGATGACATGAATTAAGAATAGTGTTGTATGAACGGGTTAATTCATGTACGTAATTCTGAGAGCGAACTACGTTGTTCGAATGTCCGTCAGAACATGGCATTACCTACATCTTTGAGATCATTTCATCATTTGGTTATATATACACATACTATAGCAACTTTTAAATTACTATTTTTTCACATTGTGGCTTGTTATGCCAAAGTCATTACAACTGTGTATGTGATGTTTTGAAAAATATACAAAAAAATATATTTTAAAATCCATTTGTTTAAATATGAATTTTACAACATTGGAAAGCATTAACATATATGTAATTTGTGAATGATTCAATATGTCAATCCCATTCCTAACCCTGACATTCCATTAATTTTTCGGGTTTTTAGGAAAATGTTAAATGTAGTGCCTAGTTATTGTACCTTGGGCCAGATTAATCAAGCTAAATTTAGACAAGAGTGGTAGTGTATACACTGCTTCACTACCTTCAGCAGTTTATTTCTGCAATCGATAGCTAATTTGTCAAATCAAATCTTTTCGATATTGTGTTATCATATTTCAGTGAATTAATGTTAAATATCCATTAACGCCGACAACATCAACGCCCGGCTCTGTTTAAAACACCCTTTTTTGAAGTATCTTATCTATTTTATATTACAAATTACAACAACACAGACGAAACGAGAAATACAGAAAATTTTTAAATTATCTCCAAAAAAATAGCAAATAGTTCTTTACAGTAAATGTTATTATCCTTAATAGTAGATTAATCGAGATTGTGAAATAAAACTTTATACAGAAAGGAAATGTGTCATTGATCCGAAAAGAAAGAAAAAAAGCATACATATAGATAAAATGCTTCGCCATAGCTGCATTAAGCGACAACGATAGATATGGGTAAGACAGTCAAAGTAATACATACACACGTACAGATATTAATGAAGTCCTTTTTTTCACGAGCAGATTTTTACAAATATATTGCGTTCTTTGACATAATCGTGAAACGAATCATTCATATCAGTACAACACAATCCCTAAAGCATTAAGTGTCCGAAAATAGGCGAACAGCACCAATCAACGTAAACCCAAATAATATATGTGACTGAGGAAATCAGTCTGTTGCATGAAAACATGAAGCTGGTTTATACATCCTGTCACACCATTATAATATTGACATTGCTTGCACAACATGTCTCCACCAGCATAGAAACTTACAATAGATTATCAAGTTCCACAGTAGGGAAACCAAAATCACTGGCTCAGTCCCCAGCTTTGGTGGGGGCGAGCAGCAGTATTGTCGAACTGTTCGACAGTGCTGCATACAAAGAGTTCGAGTCGGCCGCGTTAACATATGAAGATCCAAGTAATACATCGAGTCATTCATCGTCCAACCAATCACTGCCGTTTAATTTAGAAAATAAAACAAACAACTTCGGTGACTCTTCATCAACGCCGAGTGGCTCACTCACAGCCACAGAGAACGCGAATAAAACTGTTAACAACTTTATTACGAAAAAAGTTAAATTCGATACCCAATTGAATCACTTGGTTGTAGATACTGTGACGGGGCGTGTATACGTGGGTGGTGTAAATAACCTGTATCAACTATCGCCCGATTTGGAGATACACGAGAGCGTGAAGACCGGCCCAAAAAACGATTCGGTAGAGTGTTCGATATTAGATTGTCCTGCGCATGCGAAACGTAAACCCACCGATAACTACAACAAAGTTCTGCTTATTGATCGCGCCACTTCACGTCTGATCGTATGCGGCAGTTTATTCCAAGGAAATTGCACCGTTCACAACTTGCAGAATGTGTCCATAATTGAGCAGGAAGTGCAAGATGCTGTTGTGGCAAACGATGCCAACTCATCCACTGTAGCATTTATCGCCCCTGGACCACCCCAACATCCCCTGACTAATGTAATGTATGTGGGCGTCACGTATACGAATAATTCCCCTTATCGCAGTGAAATACCGGCTGTAGCTTCGCGATCGTTGGAGAAGAAAAATATGTTCCAAATAGCATCGTCGGCCGTGACAACTGGCACCAGAACATTTATCAATTCGTATGCCCGCGAAGGATATTTGGTCACATATGTATACGGGTTTAGTTCGGAGAAGTTTTCATATTTTTTAACTACACAGCTGAAGCACAATCATCACTCGAATCCCAAGGAATACATCACAAAACTTGTCCGTATCTGCCAAGAGGATTCAAATTACTACTCTTACACTGAAATTCCAGTCAACTGTATTAGCACAGACCAAGGCGGCACCAAGTACAACTTGGTACAAGCAGCCTATTTGGATAAGCCGAGTTCGGACTTGGCTGAAAGTTTATCAGTGACACCACAGGATGACGTCCTGTATGCTGTCTTTTCCGAGGGACGTGGGAACCAATCAACTGATAACTCTGCACTTTGTATATACTCATTGAAAGCTATACGTCGAAAATTTATGCAGAACATTAAATCGTGCTTTAATGGTGTTGGCTCTAGAGGTCTCGATTTCATCTCTCCCAATATGCCGTGCGTGCCAACAAAACTTCAAACTATTGGAGAAGACTTTTGTGGCCTCGACGTCAATTCTCCACTTGGAGGCGATCAGCCAATTACTGCTGTACCCGTATTGACGTTTAAGGACTATTTAACTTCGATTGCGGCAACGAGCTCCAGCGGTTACACAGTTGTCTTCATTGGAACTGGTAATGGGTATTTGAAGAAAATAGTTGTTGAATCCAACACTGTAGCCAATGAATATGCCGAGATACCCATTTCAGTTGGTTCTCCGATTCTCAAAGACATGCTATTTGACAATCAAAATATGCATTTGTATGTCATGTCCAGATCGCAGGTGGCAAAGGTCAAAGTATACGATTGCAGTGGCTACAGAACATGCGGCGAGTGTTTGGGGGCACACGACCCATATTGTGGTTGGTGTTCATTGGAAAATAAGTGTTCGCCACGATCTACCTGTCAAGATGATGTCAATGATCCACTTTATTGGATCAATTACAAGACGGGAAAATGTACCACAATAACGAGCGTAATGCCCCATCAATTGCAAAGGACCACTGCACGGACATTGGAACTAATTATTGACCACTTGCCACAACTTAAGGAAAACTTGGTGTGTGCATTTACCACGGAAGACAAGGCTCTGTTCACAAACGCCACAAAGAAAAGAAACGGTGTAAACTGCACAACACCACGAACGGATATGTTGCCACAGATTGGGCAGGGAAAACACCATTTTACGGCCAAATTATCGGTGCGCACACGAAACGGTCCGGATTTGGTATCGACAGATTTCACATTCTTCGACTGTAGTACACACTCGTCGTGTACTCGTTGTGTTTCTTCAGAATTCCCTTGTGATTGGTGTGTTGAAGCACATCGTTGTACACACGATACCGCTGAGAATTGCCGTAACGATATCCTTGTAACTGGCGTCAGTCGTATCGGTCCCAGCTACAGGTCTGGACCTGGTTTTTGTCCAACCATAAATGCTACAGGTGATGGAAGCGAAATCCTTGTAGCAGCAGGCACCAGCAAATCCATTAAAGTCAAGGTGCATATAATCGGCCAGTTCATCGTGCAAACGCGATTTGTGTGTCAATTTAACATCGAAGGACGCGTCACTAGTTTAAATGCTCAACTGTTGGGCGATACAATATACTGTGATAGTATGGAATTCCAATATACATCTCGCTCACCGAATTTAACGGCTACATTTGCCGTTATTTGGGGTGGTTCGAAGCCACTGGACAACCCGCACGACATACATGTTGTCATATACAGATGCCGCGATATGGCCGACAGCTGTGGCATGTGTTTAGCACTGGCACAGAAGTACAACTGCGGTTGGTGCTCTTCCACCAACACATGCGAGGTCGAAGAGCAGTGTAATAAGAACAACAACGAAGGCAAAACCGACTGGTTGAATCGAATGGAAACTTGTCCCAATCCTGAAATACATTACTTTTCGCCAAAAACTGGACCCTGGGAAGGTGGTACCAACATAACCATCCGAGGCATAAACTTAGGTAAGAAATTTTCCGATATTTACTCGGGAGTACGCATAGCGGGAATAAACTGCTCGCCCTTTGAAAAATTTTACGTGGATACGAAGGAAATTGTTTGCATAGTGGACAGTCCAGGGGAGCAAATGTATCGTAGTGGTCGCATTGTTGTACAAATCGGGGACTATCGTGGAGAATCCAAGGAGGACTATGAATTCGTTGATCCGAAGATATCATCATTTAGCCCCAGACATGGGCCGGTGTCTGGTGGAACTCAGATACGAATAATCGGTAAATATTTAAATTCAGGGTCACGCATACAAGCATTCATCAATGATCATTTGCCATGTGAGATTCTCAGCGTGGATGAAAATCAGGCTATTTGTAGTACATCGTCGTCGCCCGGCATCATAGAAGGGCGCCTGAAAATGGTCTTCGATAACGGACCAAGAGAATTTAACGAATATAATTTCAAATATGTGCTTGATCCCACCGTTGAGCAAGTATATTCCGGCACCACAGGTGGCCAAATAAAAGTTCCAAAAGGAATACCGGCGGGCGGCACTGAAATAACTGTCATCGGTACCCATTTCAATTATATACAGGCGCCGAGTATGTATGTGATCTACAAAAATAAAACGTTTCTCAGCCAATGTCTAGTTAAATCGTCAACGGAAATGATTTGCGATTCACCCACTGTAGAGACCAGTCCCGATGATATGTTGGACTCCGAGAATCCTCAGAAGTTAGAATACGGGTTCTTAATGGACCATGTTTTACAAGTACAGAACCTTTCAGCCAAACATAACAACTATTATGAATTGTATCCCAACCCAGTCTATTACAACTTTGAAGAACGTGTCAAGTACTATAAGAGCGAATATTTGACAATTAACGGTCGCCATTTAGATCGGGCGTGTAGCGAAAGCGATGTAAAAGTTTTTATTGGTAAAAAATTGTGCAATATAACATCGTTGTCGCGGCAGCAACTGACGTGTCGTCCTCCACTAGAACCGTTTGGCGGTGACAATTACGACTCGGACGATGACAGTGGTCCAGATAGCAAGGACAGCTCTGGCCCGGAGGTAGTGGTGCGCATTGGACGCTCGCTAGAGTATCGAATTGGAGTATTAAGCTATGCCTCGCCGAATATCATGGACGATTTGGGCAAAAATGCCTTTGTTGTCGTTGTATCCGGAGTCGTACTTCTGCTTTTGATATTCGTAGCACTATTGGTTGCTTACAAGAAGAAGACATCGGAGTCGAATCGGGTTCTTAGAAACATGCAGGAACAAATGGACATTTTGGAGTTACGAGTGGCAGCAGAATGCAAAGAAGCATTTGCCGAATTGCAAACAGAAATGACAGATCTCACGGGAGACCTAACATCAGGCGGTATACCGTTCCTCGACTATTGTACTTATGCCATGAAAATCTTGTTTCCGAATCACGAGGATCACATTGTTCTCCAATGGGAACGGCCCGAGTTGTTGCGCAAGGAAAACGGTTTGCGGCTATTCGGTAAGCTAATCATGAATAAGACATTCTTGTTACTGTTTATTAGAACCCTTGAATCCAACCGATATTTCTCGATGAGAGAACGGGTCAATGTTGCGTCGCTGATTATGGTTACCTTACAATCGAAGTTGGAGTACTGCACGGATATTTTGAAAACACTGTTGAGCGATTTGATTGAAAAGTGTATTGAGGGAAAGAGCCACCCAAAGCTGTTATTAAGGAGGACGGAGAGTGTTGCTGAAAAAATGTTGAGCGCATGGTTCACTTTCCTTCTGTACAAATTTCTAAAGGAGTGTGCTGGGGAGCCGCTGTACATGCTCTTCCGTGCTGTCAAAGGTCAAGTAGACAAGGGCCCAGTGGACGCATGTACATATGAAGCTCGGTACTCGCTGAGTGAGGAGAAACTTATTCGACAGCTTATTGATTTCAGACCCATGACGGTCTATGCCAGCATAATACAGCAACCAATATTTTGCAACAATGTGGAGATGTTGCCAACGCACACTGAGAACGTGCCAGTCAAAGTTTTAGATTGCGACACCATAGGACAAGTTAAAGAGAAGTGCTTGGACACGATTTATCGGAACATACCGGCTAGTCAAAAACCAAGAAAGGACGACTTGGATCTAGAATGGCGTACTGGGGCTACCGGTCGTGTAATTCTGTACGATGAAGATACCACTTCCAAGACCGAAAACGAGTGGAAGAAACTAAACACGCTCCAACATTACAATGTCCCAGATGGCGCTGCACTCAGCTTAGTTCCCAAGCAAAGTTCTATTTATAACTTCTCTATTTTGTCAGACAAGAACGAAAAATCGCATAAATACGAAACCTTAAATCTCTCCAAATACACATCATCTTCGCCAACATTTAGCAGGGCTGGCAGTCCCCTCAATAATGACATGCACGAAAATGGCATTAAGTACTGGCATCTGGTTAAACATCACGACAACGATGTCCAGAAGGAGGGTGAACGTGTCAACAAACTAGTTTCCGAAATCTACTTGACTCGCCTTCTGGCCACCAAAGGCACATTGCAAAAGTTTGTCGATGATCTTTTCGAAACAATTTTCAGTACAGCCCATCGTGGTTCCGCATTGCCATTAGCTATTAAGTACATGTTCGACTTCCTTGATGACCAAGCCCTCTTGCATGGCATCACTGATCCCGAGGTTGTGCACACTTGGAAAAGCAATAGTTTACCACTACGTTTCTGGGTGAATCTCATAAAAAATCCTAATTTCGTTTTTGACATACACAAATCGAATATTGTCGATTCATGTCTATCCGTTGTCGCACAAACGTTCATGGACTCATGCTCCACATCCGATCACAGGTTGGGCAAGGATTCGCCCAGCTCAAAGCTGCTCTACGCAAAAGACATTCCCGAATATCGCAAATGGGTTGATCGCTACTACCACGACATTCGAGAAATGCCGCCGATATCCGATCAGGATATGAACGCCATGCTGGCCGAGGAGTCGCGCCTTCACACATCCGAGTTCAACACGAATTGCGCTCTGCACGAACTCTACACCTATGTGGTCAAATATAATGAACAATTGGCCGTCACATTGGAGGAGGACGAGTTCTCCCAGAAGCAGCGTCTTGCCTACAAACTAGAACAAGTCCACAACATCATGTCAGCCGAGTAATAACTCCTCTGCCCGGGCAAAGTGAAAACTACTATATTTTGTAATATGTAATCATTAACAATTAAGCAAAGTAAAATATTAAACTAATTGGTGTTCAACATTTTTTAATAAGCAGAGAAAACGTATTGCAAAAATACCGAGTAATAAAAGTCAATCTTGAAAACAAATTCAAATTGTAACTCCCAATTTGGGCTCAATAAAAATAAAAACCAACCGCATATTGATATTCAAAACATATTTAAGTATTAATCGATGTCAAGTACTTTTTGTTGTATATTTTCTCATTTTTGTACGAAAATGCCATATACATTTTCGACCATTTATACATACATCATTTAAAAATGTAATTTTCGATCACGTCTGCCCAACAAGAAGCTCTCTTGGATTTCCAACTAACATAAGTAACAAACGAATCTTGCAGTGAAAGTGAACCATATCGCTCATCTCATAATGCTCGACTTCTGATGTAGGTTAACGATGTTTGTTGCATTGTTGTATCTACACACTGCCGCACTCACATTTCCATGCAAACATACAATTATGTGTTGTACTCGAAAACTACGCTTTATTCTTGTTGGACAGACCTAAAATTAATAATAAATAGACACGTACGAAATCATAACTATAATTTTAAAGGATAATAAATAATAATAAATGTATTACGAATATAATTTATAAACTATTGATGTTTCCATATTCCATAACTAAGCCTAAGCCACATAATAACAAACAGACATATCTCGAACAAAAATACATTCATGAAACATGTGAAACAAAAACAAAAATTGTATGTAACTGCTTGTGTTTATGTGTTCATGTGCGCATGTCTTTGCTCTGTGTTGCAGACATATGTATACCTAGTGGTGCATTGATAACAATAGCTGGGTTAATAAATTGGCACAAATGTGTTGCCATTGCGAAGAGCAGTGCACCACCACCCACGCTGACGGTGTGTAGGATTTGTTTTTTTGATATTAGACATTTAGTTAAAGGAAGCTAAAGGTTTTAACTACAATAGTCACCTGTAGTGTTGAATATAGTATACTGTCGTGTTTATACGGCATGTAAGTGTATTCTGAATTTGATTTTTAAATACCACAAATCTGTTGTTAAATATTCTATTCTTTTTGTGCATTTCTCGACCGTTCTGATATCATTATGAATGGGGATGCTGTGTTAGCATTGATCTTATCCCAGTTTGTCTTCCGAGAGTTCCAGTAAGGTTTCTGTTTTTCTCTGGAGGTGGTAATCTGGAAATTTATCATCCTATGATTCGAAAAGGAGTACCAATGCTGTTCATTTCTTCAGCAGGTAGCATACCTCCGTCCAGGGGGGTCAGAAACCTCGTACGGTAGGTTACCACTGTCGTCATATCACTGTGATCCAAACACACAGGCATATTGGCCACAAACACTTATAACATATCTATAAATGGACATTTTTAAATTTTTGGCGGGTTTATTGTATATTTTGAACTAAAAAATATAAACCCAGACATTTTTTAATATCAACTTTCTGCAATAGTTTATTCGTGGTTACAAATTGCTTATGCCTGTACAATGTCAAAAATATAATTAAAGTCAAATTAAATCAAACTTTTATTATGGCATTATTTTAAAAATCATTCAAAAATTAAGTAATAAAATATGGATACATTTGTATTTTTTATCTTCTTCAGTTGTATTATTAACTATCATATCATTTATTCGACGAGATTTGCTCGGAGGCATTCAAAAGTTACTTGTTATTTGTAACTGGGAAACTCTTCATGAATGTTATTTATATGTATTATTATTTTATAGCAATGCAGCTTTTTACAGCTCACTCTTATTTTTTTTTTTTTTTTTTTTTTTGAGATTCCTCTTAATTAGAAAGTAGTAAGTTCAAATTTTATTTTTTTCTAAAAATAACCTATTTGAAAACAACAAAAGTGGTTTATTCTGTTATAAATTCATCCCTTGCTGGTATTCATTTTTTGTTTTTTCTGTTTTCGACACCTCTTTTTATTTTTTAGCGGACATTTCGATCGATCGAAATGTCCGCCCGATCGAAACAACTCGATATGGACTGTAATATTGTTCCCCCTGTTAATTCGGCAGTAAAAGGCCCCACACACTATACGTCATGCCAATGAACCTTTTGTGTATATGTGAGATTTACTGGTGTGAACTAGCAGGGACAAAGTTGGTAATATCGAAGGTAAGACAAAACATAGGCTTATCAGAAAAAATATGGGTATAATCATTTAGAAATTGGAAGGTTTTGCGGTCATGTTTAACAATTTCTAACCTGCTTCCCTTATTCTTTATTTTATTTTCAAATTCATCATGCCTAGTCTTTCGACATTTCAAAGAACTCTCGACATTTCAAAGTACTCTCTTTCTTTGCGATTTTTCTACTATAGATGTTTTTTCTTTTTGATTAAAGACAGACGAACCTGACCGAGGGTTAAAATGAAAATTGCTATTTTTTAAACTCTGCGCCTTTATATGATCTTAAATACAACATTTTTTTTTCCGACAAAAAATTTTTTGACCCTGAAAGGGTTAAGGTGGTAAACTACAGTCTTCTCTACCTTACGCCTTGGTGGACAATGCCATACTTTCCTCACTAATAAATAGTTTTTTTTTTATAAAAACTATAAACTGGAATTCAGTCTGACTATTTCGCAAAAACAAAATAATATGAATTAACATTTGTGAGCATTTTCATCGTTAGTATTACGTATATTTGTAGAAAGTTCGTTATAACCAAATCAAAATATATGACAATTGAATGTTAGGACCGAATAAATAGGTCATTATAAAGAAAGTTCGTTAGTTCGCGATAAGAGTAAAGATTTGTACGAAAAATATGTCTTGAAACTTCGGGACCAGGAAATGTGTTCGCTATAAAAAAGTTCGTTATAACCGGTGTCGTTACAAGCGTACTCGACTGTATTATTATCCAATAAGAATGCAGTTACAGAATAAAATGTTATCGAGTTTTTGTGGTTAAACATTCGAAATAAGGAAATGAATCCCATACAACGTAATGTTTATAATATATTCACATTTAGCTGGTTATTTTCCCAGTAACATTTACTCGGTAAGTTTCAGAGAGTAAGTTTTACCGAGTTAACCTACTTTTCGATGATTTATTTTACATATATTCAATAGAATTGACAATTTAAGTCCACTAGATTAATGAAATCCAGTACAACAAGTGCGTCTCTTATGAATTCCCGAACATGTCCAACAAATATTAACGTTTTCGTTTCCTTGAACAAAATGATACTACCAGAGAACAATTTAAGCAACATATGTTTTTTTTTTATTTTTCTACATTAAATACAATCTACGTATTTAACAATGTATACATTCATATGTTCGAATTTGCCTACAACAGAGGTACAACGTATTACGTTATTATGGACTATCCTCTTACATTTCGAAAAAAATACAATACATAGCTCATTATACACAACTAAATGCCATCTTTCGATTTTTTACTTAGCTTTACCCTGTGCTGCAACGGCCTCGATAGCTTTTTTTACCGTCTCTTCATCTCCCAGGAATTTCATAGATACAACAGGTTTAAAGTTCTCGTCCAGTTCGTAAACAAATGGAATGCCTGTGGGCAAGTTCAGGCCCATAATAGCATCCTCAGACATATCTATAATTCAAAAGAATGTGTCATCATATTGAAATCTCTCGGGAAAAATGCAAGCACTTACTGTCTAAATGTTTAACAATACCACGCAAGCTGTTACCATGGGCAGCAATCATGACGGTTTTTCCCTCCTTAAGTTGAGGAATAATGACATCGTTCCAATAGGGCAAAGTACGTTCAATTGTGAGCTTCAACGATTCAAACATTGGAAATTCTTCCTTTTTGGGCTCGTTAGCATAACGAGGATCATTGACAATGGCATCATAGTAAGGATGTCCAGGTTCCATCGGTGGTGGGGGAGTATCGAAGCTGCGGCGCCAGATTTTAACCTGATCTTCTCCATATTTTGCTGCAGTTTCGGCCTTATTTAATCCAGTCAGACCGCCATAATGACGTTCGTTAAGACGCCATGTCTTAAAAACAGGTATGTCACTTTGGCCACTTTTAGCCAAAATTGTATTAAGAGTAATTTGAGCTCGCTTCAGTACAGATGTATGGGCGACATCGAACTTAAGACCAGCTGCTTTAACAGCTTCCCCTGCAGCTTCGGCTTCCTTTTTACCTATAATTGTTAAAAACTTTCCATGAATACCTTCACTTTTCATTTAATAAACGCTTTTGAAAGCGTATTCCACTATGCATTTCTCCTTATGATACAATACATATCTGTCCATTTCATAATGTTTTCTTCTGTTCTTACCGTTTTCGCTTAAATCTGAATCAAACCATCCACAGAATTGGTTTTTTAAATTCCACTCCGACTCTCCATGTCTGACCATAACAATCTTGTATTTTCCAGCCATATTTGCAGTGAACAATCTTCGACAGGCAGCACGAATATCACCTCTAACTGAAATATGAGATAGGAATAATGTTCTAGTCGGTCCTACCATCAATTGGGATATGACCTTTGAAAAAAACAAGGTCATCACAGTACATAGCCGGATATAGATTTGTTACCGCCGTGATTATTTTTACAGGGTGTGTTCGTTTAAGTGGGATGAAATATATAGATATATACTGGCTGAAATTTATTTAAAACTGTTTGGTACTCTTTTGAAAACACATTTCTTTTTTTTTAACTGCAGGGTTTATTCACAAGGTTAATGAATTTTATGTCTTTGGGGAATAATTTATGAGGCGATTGATATTATATCAATAAAATAACCAGCTTCAGTATGCGTTGGCAGTTTTTAACGTTAATTCTCGAAAAAAACAATGAACATGGTACAATTATTCAAAGTAGGCCATATCAACTTATTTATTACATTTTTTCATATTTGTGGTTTGTTATGCCGTATGCAAAATGTGTGACAATATGTTTAATATTTTTAAACATGTATTCTAAACCCCATTTTTTTAAAGATGAATTTTACAACATTGGTAGGAAGACAAATATAAACTGATTCATTCCACAAATTTTAAATTTCTTCCCTGCGGACCTTGCAAAATGCATATTTCAAATGACGAATCCATCGTCATTTATTTTAAACAATGCACGAAAACTCCATGCTATGCTATACAATAATGTTTTAGTGCCATAAAGTAAAGTACTTTTATCATTAAATGAGTCGCTCGGTGCTTATAGATTATCTACACTTTTTGAGAATCATACTTATAATAACATTTCTGAATAATAAAGATAGTTGATATATATTTGAAATTATACTATTAAAGGAATTTTAGAAACAGTATATATCATCAGATTTCTCAACTTTTCATTTTATAGAGTTAACCGATATGTGAACGCTGTAATGATTTTTTTTTGGTTTTAAAAAGTTTAAACTTGGCCAATTTCCAGATAACGCCACAACAAGCAATCGGGAGGGTTCCGCTAGGTCGTTAATGTTTAGAGCAGGTGTTTACAAGTTAAATTTGATCTTGTGCAAAAATTCAGCAATGACAGGAAGATTTTTAATCCCATGTTTGTTGATGAAATCCACAGTGGATCTTGAGCTCCGCATATAGTGATTAGAATTTCTTTCCGACGAGAAGCGATGGCACTGAAATAGGATATGGTCGACATTTTCCTCAGTGCAACAAGTTTCACAGAGGGCAGAAGGAACTGCTTTCATTCTTTCCAAGGTGGCATTGCAAAAGGCGTGGTTTGTGACAACTCTGTTGAGTGTTTTTGTATCCAAAGGGGTAGATGTGGTATTGTGGAACCATGGTCGTTTGGTGACTTCAGGGAAGATTGTGAAGTAATGGGAGGAGCCGGACAATCCTCTTTCTTTATACTCATTTGCCCATTCTATCCACAGGTCGTGAGTTATATGGTTAATTGCGTCAGAGATAGTCAAGGGTGTCTCAATCTGCGAGCCAATCTCTCTCGCCATTCTTGCGGCTTGATCAACTGTTTCATTAAGTGGGATACTACAGTGCCCCGGGATATGATGCAATTCAATCTCCTCAAAGTGTTCCGAAGCTAGCCAATTAATTCTGTCAACAAGATAATTTCCCCTCTGATTGTTTTTTATTGCTACAAGACCACTAAGACAGTCACAAAGAATGGCTAATTTTCGAATTTGATTGTTAGCTGCATATTCAAGTGCTTTGACTATTGCTATAAGTTCAGCCGACATTGAGGACAATGCCAGGTCCCCGAAATACGAGAACACAATACCAGGGCCTTCATGAATAAAGGCCGAGCCAGAGAAGTCGGAAAAAACGGAACCATCTGTGAAGAAAATTTCAAAACCTTTGTTTTTTAACTGATTTATTTTTTCATTATATAATTGCCCAATTATCAAAGAATCCGCGTCAGCCTTCTTTGTAACTATTCCCTTGAAAAACACGTCATCAACCACTATAATCTGGGTACCCGTTCCTAATGGGGAAGTTTTCCCGACTTTTTGGAGAATATCTTTGAATTTTGTGTGTACTCTAAAAATGCCAGTGTTAATAAGATGGGACAGATTCCCGAGGGTATTTACAATAGGTCGCTTATATGCATAGGACTTCACCAATTCTTTTGCTGCCGTGAGACAAAATCTATAATTTGGAGGTAGCTCTGCCGACAAGTGGTAGAGACATGGGACCGGCGTTGATCTTATTAAGCCAAGAGATTTTCTCAAACAGTTGTTGATCGAGGTCTTAATTTTATTAACGGAACCTTTGTCAGCATTGGCAAGGGCCGCAGATGCATATTCTAACTTGGACCTAACACATGCCCTGTAAAGGCGCAGGGATTTACGTGGATCTATGCCCCTGTTACAACCACCTAAGATATTTAAATACCTGTTTTTCTTTTCTACCTCTGAAAGGACATTTTGAACATGTTCCTTTGCGGAGTTATTGGATGCCACAAAGTAGCCTAAGTACTTAATTTTGTTTACCTGCTCAATACCAACTCCGTTCTGAACCAGATTCAGGTTTCGAACTCTCCTATTAAAATGGACTGCAGACGTTTTACTAATATTAAAGCGAAGGTTAATCTCCCCGCACCGAGCAGCGAATTCATCAATCTTCGAATCCAAAATGCATCTGGCGGATTCAAAGTCCCTATGGTAAACCAACAGAAAGAAATCATCTGCGTATTGGAATAAAATGCAATTATCAGACTGAATAGCATGTAATGAAATTGTGTATGCATTAAAAAGAATTGGGCTTAACGCACTTCCCTGAGCTAGACCACCGCTGACGGAGACGACGCGAGAACCAAGGACGAGATTCCTCCTGTGGAGGAAATCTACAATCCACGAGGTAATCGCGCCATTCACCCCCAGGTCATCCAGTTTTGATTTCAATATATCCGCCCTCACACAGTCATAGGCCTTTTCAACATCGACACAGAAACCTAACACTTGGAAACCCCTCGATTTTAACGCATAGACCGTATTGATTAGGTCGTTAATACACATGGAAGTAGAGTGGCCCGGTCTAAACGCATATGACCGGGCAGGGAACACGTGATTTGCTTCGAGAAAACTTTGAGTTAATTCCTTCAACATTGATTCAAGGCATTTAAGAGGCACCGAAAGAAGAGAGATTGGCCTGTAATTTTCTAACTTGGTGGGGTCCTTTCCCTGTTTTGGGATTGGCGAGATTTTAATATTCCTCCAGTCATCTGGAATTTTGCCACTTGACCAAACACTACACAGGATATCGAAGAAAGCCACAAGCGCCGAGTGAGACAGACTTCTTAAATGCTCATAGGATATTTGATCCAACCCTGGGGCTGAGTTGGAGCTTCTCGACTGTAAAAAACGTTGAAAGGTCTCAAAAGAGAGAAATGATGGAGAAAGGCGACCTAAAGTCGGAATCCCAGGATCCCCCGCCAGGTCCACAGTAGAATCCACATCCGGGGCCAAAACAGGTTCCTCAGGAGCATCATCATCGGAGTTGGCAATAGAATTCTCCAGGGACACAACCCTGGAGACCTCCACTGGCGCCCCGTGAGACTCCCCCGCGTCAATCCTGCATCCGCCCAAGACATCGATCCCCCCAGGCCCATCGGAAGACATAGAAGCTATACTAAGCTCATCCGTATCAGGTTGGTGTACAGCGGATGTATCCGAGGTGGAGGCAGAAGCCAATAAATTAAGAAATTGTCCTTTCTGATCTTCATCCCATGTGTGATTAATACTTTTAGGCTGCTTGTACTTGCGTACATTTCTAATCGTTCTCCAGAAATGTTTGGTGGAAGTACTACTGGAGAGTTCATTAACCACCGATTCAAAGTTCTCAACTTTACAATCTTGTACCTTTTTACGAAGAGTATCTTCTGCCTCTGTAAAAGTCCTTAAGTCTTGTAGGGTCCTGCTTTTAAAATATTTAGCCTTTGCAGCCTGTCTTAACCTAAACAGCTTTTCTATTTCTTTATTCCACCACATTTTCGGGACATATTTATTCTGTGCATCTATTGTAATTGTGTTTTTTTTAACAATCTCACGAACCTTGTTATTGAAATTTTCAATGGAGCCACCCACATCTAATTTAGCCATCTCCTCTAAAACTGCCCTTTTCTTCACTCTTTTGGTTGCCCTTGGTGGGATAGGGTTATTACCGAATTCCACAATTACGGGCAAATGATTGCTATTAGTAAGTTTATTCGAATTAACTGACCAAGTAGGTGTTAAATTGAGATTTTTTGCAAACGTTAAGTCCAAGACAGAAGCATGTCTATCCTGGAGACGGAAAGTAGGTTCACCATTATTAAGACAATAAAAACCACAAGATGACGCTATATCATCCAATATAGCTCCTTGGGCGTTCGTGATCGTATCACCCCATTCTACAGATCTGGCATTAAAATCACCCCCAACTACTATCGGCAAAGCAAAACGTCCAAGATGTGTGAAAAGACTATTAACCATTAATTCGAAGGTACCCCTCTGCGTATTCGGAGGAATGTATACAACGCTAAAAATGAAATTATTTCTCAAATTCAAGGTTTTTACGCCTAAAACTTCCATCTCAACACCAATGTCGATGTCGATAAGTGAGAAAGAGATATCTCTTCTCAAATATATACCTACACCTCCATAGCTGTCTTGACGGTTTTTAAAAGCAAAATTAAAATTAGTTAAGTTAGAAGTCGAGTTATCTTTCAACCAAGTCTCAGTTATCAATGCGATATCAATTTTATTTTTTTCCATAAAAAGCTCCAGCAGACATTTATTATTATTATTATTGAAACTCTGTATATTAAATTGTAAAACTCGCATAATATATTAATTTTGATTATTATTATTATTTTGTCCTTTCAGACTCTTATTCATTAATCCTAAATCCATTTGCGCTTGACTGCTGTTAATTGCATCTTTAATTTTGTTAAAAAGGTTCATTGATTCCATATTGACTACATTTGGAGTGATTAAAGCTTTATTCAGAAGATCAGTAATGATGCTAAGAACTTTTTCAAATTCCGTAGTTTTTTGATTTTCTAAGGCACTAAGTAATGAGCCATTTGGCAAGG